TCTCCTCTTCAAACTGGAATGTCCAATTTGAGTTCCTTTTCATCCCCCTCTTCATGTTCAGGAATGGTTTTACCACTTTTTTTTGTGTGTGTGTGGACTTCATGTATCTCAGGCATTTTACCTCTATGTATCCAGTTTACCTGCCTTCATTACTGCTCTGGGAGATCTATGATGCTGTTGTGGTCACTACAATGAAAAATAAGAAATGACAGCGTTAATAAGAATAGCAATAGCCTATCCATCCCTTGGAATATCAAAAATTAGGATAAAATTAACACTTTCAGTGTAGTTTTGAATTCCAATGTCTTTCCACAAAGCATTTTCTCTTTAGACCAGAGATGGTAATGACATAAAATTAGAACAAGACTTAAAAGAATAAAGGGGCATAAGGTACAGATGATTATGAGAATGGGACAATGTAGTGGGGCGGAAGGCCTGAAGGGCTTGTCCTTATTAGTGTACTGGACTAATAAAGGTTATTTCTTGCAGGCAAACAGGGGTCTCAGAAATATGTCTGTGCACAGAATGATATTTGAGGCCACATCAGACATTTTTCCAGGCATTAGCTAATGAGCCAAATATGTGACCAATTTCAGGAATTTGTACAAAGCCTTGGTTTGAAGGAGGGATTCTCTGAACTACAGTCAAATTTCCTATTATTTTTATAGCACTTTATTTATATATAGTATCTCAAACTACTTGACAGTGGACGCTGCTGAACAGGAATAACAGAAAAGAAAGGTATCATGTTGCAGCAGTATTAATATAAATAAAATTAGGGCATGTTATTTGCTAAGAGAAGATTTAGAAATAGAGAATAGAATGAAGTTGGAGTTTATGGTAGCTGGCATGTTAGTTGCGTGTCCCTCAGAAACATGAATTCACTGCCTCCCATCAATAGTGTCCCCTTAGAAACAGATGTAATGGGACAAGAAGGCATGGGCTTAATCTTCAGCAAGGGAGATTTAGGTTAGATATTAAGAAAAACTTTCTAACTGTAAGATTAGTTAAACCTTGGAATAGGCTTCCAAGGGAGATTGTAAAATCACCATCATTGAAGGCTTTTAAGCAGAGGTTGGACAAACACCTGTCAGGAATGGTCTACTTGGTCCTACTTCAGCACAGGGGGCTGGACTTGATGATCTCTCAAGGTCCCTTCCAGCCCTACATTACTATGATTCAAAGCTAATTCAAGAGAAGATTTCAAATCAAGGTATGAAGAATAAATCAGTAGCTTGGATAAGAAAAAAATACAGACATTTTAAAGCTAACTTAGTGATGTTCCTTAGTGATGTTCCTAGTGATGACCTCAGAAGGACGTTGTGAGGGTTAATGCATGAATGTTCAAAAAGCACTGTAAGGGTCTCAAATGTAAGATGTGATGGCACTGCACTGTTCCTTAAAGCTATCCTTAAAGCTGTCATCTGTATTCAGTTGAGAAACTATTATAGAGTTAACTTCTTTCCTCTTGCATAGTTTGGAAGCCTTTTAAGGACTTTTTTAAGTGGTAGTTAATATGGAGCCTGTTCCTCCTCTTCATCTGCCTCCAAGGGTGAAGTTCAGACTGTATTCTGTAATACTGAAGAGCCTGTGCAGGAGGCAGTGAAGTGAAGGATGTTAAGAAAGCTGGGGAGAGGTGATAGGCAAGAAGGAGAAACGTTTGTTCTGCCGCTAACCTTTGTTTAAAAGAACTTTTTTTCTTTACACAGAGGGGGGCAGGATTTAAAAGACAAACATTTTTCTTCCTCAGAGAGACTCTATGACATAAAAATGTGGGGCATGCAATGTTGCAGCAAGCCTTTGGAAAGCTGAGCTAGAAGATTTGGCCCTAGAGTCATGAGAAGAATGAACAGGGTTAAGAGCTCAGCATAAAAACAGCACAGATATGAAGCTTTTCAAACACTTAATCCAGATGGATGAATTTCACTAGGAAAAACTTGTCCTATATTCTGGCATGACAGATCTTACAGATTCATTTCCATGGACTGGGAATACGAGGCAGTGGTTTAAATTGGATCTGAAAAATGTGTACAGTAACTGTTTTTGGACTTGTATGTAAAATGTTCTGATGGGTTCCATCATTGCCAGCAGACATCTCCCTTCTGCACCAGATGGATGAGTGGGCTATCATCAGCCTTCTTGCAGATGTCCTGCTGCTGGAAGACAAAGAAAGGAGCATAAATCCCATTGTAAATGCCCCAATGGTACTTTGATGCCCATGATTCCAAGTAGCTGTGCAGGAGCCATAACTATTAGTGGGAAGAGTCAGGTTCCAAGGGCCAACCTCCTTCCCATCTGATTAGCCTGTGGAGGATGGAGGAGAAACTGCAAACAGGGACTAGAGCAGCAGGGAGATCAGTCATATAGCTTACCCTCACTGCAGGGGCTCCTGCTGCGGCTTACATGTGCATCTCATTCTAATATGTCTTCCTGTTACTCCCCAAGTTTCTTTTGCAGCCTCTGGTTTAGCTAGCCATGAAAGCAACATACATTAGGAGACTGCATGCTGAAGTGGTAGCAGACAAGCAGCAATGGTCTCTTTCACCAACCACCAGCAGATGTAGTAAGTAAGGAGCTGTACTGTGGAAGAGCATAGGATTCAGGAAATGGACAGGTGAACTTGGAGGCACGGTGTAGACAGAGGGTGTAGACTTTGTCAACAGGCATTGGAGGGAGACTTAAGGAGAGGTGCATAGCCACAGATTTTGTAAGGGGGAATATAAAGAGATGCTGATGTAAGTTAAGATGGACATTTGTGTGGATGAGAAAAATGGGGTAAGAAGTGGAAAGGAAGGCACTTCCAGGTTGTATAAGGGGGAAAGGGGAGTTCATTTGAATTTGTGCTTTGGGGACCCATCCAAATATTTTTATGACCCTGGCTGTGAACTGTATCTCTTCTTTTTGCAGCTCTTGCCAAGACTAACCTTCTCATCTACTTCCTGTACTGCTAGGCTATTACCTGGATCTTCCACTGCCTCCTGTCTTTGGACATTTTTATTTTGTGGGAGCTAAAAGGAGATAGCCTGAGAGAGCAGCCACATGTGGCCTTTCCTGAAGATCATGCCAAACAGAGCTAGCCTGCCATTTGTGGACATAAATCATACAGTTTCTTCCTAATCACAACTCAGTGCCTCTCTTAGTATTATCATGAGGAAATTATCCAAAAGAACTCCAGATACAGTGTTTTACTCCTTCTGAACTAGCATTGCCTTTCACAGTCCCAAGGAATACAAACCTCCTCAATCTTCGTAATTAAAAGATCTTATCAGCAGTGTGGCCCAATATTCCAGTTGATAGTGCATCTTGGCCTGCAGAGTAGGGGTTAATCATGGATTCTATTACATTAATAACAGCTGTGTTTATGTATTTTAAAATCTGAGGGAGGAAAATATTCCCGTGCAAAAGGTTCTGTAATACATTTGTATTAGGTATGAGCCCAAGTAAGGAGGTTCAAATCTGAATTATAACCTACACAAAGTTCTGGGATGTTCGGACTATGGGTTCCAGACCAGGTCCATTTCTAATTTAGAGACCTTCAGTGGGGCACCCCAAACTTATCCAACAATCAAATAGTTTCATTATCTCTTAACTTGCTATTCCCTTCTAGATAGAAATGCTCACTTGCTGAACTAGATAGAGTTCATTCTATGCTTGCTCCATTGCATTTGTAGAAATTGGCTTCCTACCTTATCATTATGGTCAATGATCCCCACAGATGTGGTAGAAAATTTACAAAATAAACTCCTCTCAAAATAACAGTTGATTTATTAGAAACGAAAAAAAATGCATCATTTTATTTTTATACAAGGAGCGGTTGCCTCACAGAGCAATACGACTGTCACTCATCCTGTTTTTCTCCCCCCCCCCTCCCATTTTGAAGGATTCATAATTGCCTTCTCTAAAATCCACCCAAAACACATTACAGGAAGCTTTAGCCTCTCAGGAAGCACATAAAATGTTTGTGTGTAATCAGGATCTCAGTGGAAATTCAGGGTTTTTGTCTATCCAAAACTGCAGATTGGAATCTCTTGACTGGTTCTAGATCAGGATGTCTATGCATTTAATACTCCGAACACAGCAGCCACTGGCAAATGAGCAAGGGAAAGGGGTGTCAGAGATAGTTACTATTTTTATTAATCTCTGATATTGGGGGCTGCCGGGGGGGAGGGAGGGGGGGAGTAAGCTTGTATATTTCTGCAGTCCCAGAACCCAGTCCTGCTTTTACTGAAATGAGTGGGGGAAATCTTCTCAATTAAATGATAGCAGACTTAGGCTCTTACTCTTCTATTTGTTATGAAGTTACTAATGAATTTGCAGAGACAAACTTGATTATCTCTGATATCATTGCCTAGATATCTATAGTGTGCTATTTTTCTTGCATGTTTCCTGGTTTATGTTTTATAATATTTTGAATGTATGTAGCACCTCTCAGATCAGATGATCCCAAAGTGGTTTACAAATTACCATGAGTATATACTAAGAGGGATCACTCCATCCACTAGTGAAATGTAGACACCTCTGGGGTGAAATACAGAAGCACCCACTCAAAGTACATAACAGTTTAGAACAGGAAATGAGGAAGAATACTGTAATCAGCTGCCTGCAGGGAGAATTAAGGGAGACAGAATGTAATTACTCAGATTGGAATTCAGCTAGAATGCTAGGCTTGACAGGCCATACTTCTGATTTGCATTCTCTTTCATGTTTTAAGTAAGCTCATGAAATGTAAGATGCTAGCCCAGTTAAACAAGTCAAGGTATTCTTTATATGATAGTATACATCTGGTGCTGGTTTAGTCACGTTATCTTTTGTCCCTCAAAACACCAGCCTCACACCTTCATTTTTTGTTAGACTTGGATTTGAGGAGATTGTAGTCATCTACATCATCCAGCAATTTTCTCAGTTGCCCACTTACACTTCTTTGTGAAGTGTGAATATGCAATCATAGTAAATCCAAAGGGTTCTAAAGCTTTTGGGTTTGTTTGTTTTTTATTACACAGGTCAGTCCAGAGCAGCCATGATACCTCCAAAGCAGCCCCGGCAGCCAAAGGGAGCTTTGGATGATGCCATTGCCTTTGGAGGAATAGCAGACCAAGAGGCAACTAACAGCTTACAGCCAACACCACCTCCACTGCCAAAGAAAACCATTTTGAGAGCCAACACAGAGCCGATCCCCAAAGAACTCCAGAAACAGACCCTGGAGAATAATCTCTGTGTTGTGGCCAACCCTACATACGACATTGACACCAACTGGGAAGCAAGCAGTGCCTGCTCTTCAGTCAGCTCAGAACTCAAGGCACTGGACAATGAGTCAGGAGATTCCTTGGACAGGCCTTTAGAAAAAGGAAAAGCAACCAACTCAACAGCCAACAGCATTTCCAGCCTAACCACTGCCAGTATTAAGGATAGGTATTCCAACAGCACGGAGTCTCTGTCTGGGAGATACATCTCTCAGACTAAGCAGAGCAAGAATATACAGAAGCCACAGAGGCAAGCACTTTATCGAGGAATTGAGAACCGAGAGGAGGTGGTAGGCAAAATCAGAAGCCTTCATACTGATTCACTGAAGAAGTTGGCAAACAAATGCGAAGATCTTTTCATGGCTGGACAGAAAGACCAGCTGCGATTTGGGGTGGACAGCTGGTCAGACTTCAGGCTAACCAGTGACAGGCCATGCTGTGAAGCAGGTGATGCAGTTTACTACCCAGCTTCTTATGCAAAAGATCCCCTCAACAATTATGCAGTCAAGGTAAGAAGGAGGTTTCAAAAACGGTTGTCCCAGACACCAGTAATATTAATAATAAAACCCTGCGTATTACAGTATAGCTAATTATGCTGTTTGCAATGGCTAATCCATGTACAGTAATGATCTGCAGCTACTGGCCCTTCTTTCTTTAAAGTGCCATTTTTGTCAATGGCATAATTAACCTTTAGCTGGATCCCCTGTTCATTGTACATCTGGGGCAATTTTTTAAAAGCCACCAACTGTCCTACTAGCTGTTTAGCATACCTATTATGTATTGACATAAGAATGGTATAAACAGCTGTGTTTTCAATGTAAAGACTGCAGGCAGGCTCTTGGAAACCTTCAGTAGTAGAACCTTTAAGTTCATTTGCATGCAGAGTCACCAAATTCTCATTTTTAATTAGGAGTAATTTCAAAGGTTTATATATATGTCTGTCTGTGAATTTTATTTATATACATTCTTAATTAGCATACCTTTCCATTCCCTTACAAACCCTTACATTCTCACCAGCCATTCTGAAGCCCTATCTTGCCATCGGTGTGGCCTTCTGTGATATATTAAAAATGAATGGAACTGAGGAATGTTGATTGGCTAGTGCTGTATTTCAGTGAAGAAAGAGTTAGCTTTTTTCGTTGAATACTCCATTCCATAGTCCTGGTCAGAAAAACATCCAGGTACTTATTTCATATGCAAATGAACAGTTATCTTACCTAATAAAGGGGTTGTGTTATTTTATCATGTTTGTGATTCATATAGGAGATTTACTCACCCTCCCTTTGGGTGCCCACACCTCCACTGCTAATGAGATGATAATGCTCATCTGATAAGATGTGCTCTAACATGAGGATGACTGGGAGCCAGGAAACCTATGTTCTATTCATTGCTCTGCCATAGACTTCCTATGTGACCTTGAGCAACTGAATGTCTGTAACTCAATTTCCCCAAGTTTAAAATGAAAATTATGATTTTTCTTACCTCACATGGGTATTGTGAGCCTAAATTCATTAATGCTTATAAAGCAAGTTGAGCTTCTCAGAGTGATGGTACTACAGAAGGGCAAAATATAATTATTATTCCCAACCACCTTTATTTGTTAAAACAGAATGAGAAGCAAGAAAGTAAGAATGTCAGTGCTAACTTGATATAAAATAGGTTCTGAATTTGAAAAGGCATCTCTTTAGGAGGTTTTTCAAGGTTACGTATTGCATTGAAGTGTTGCCACATTCTATTGGGTTTATATTTGTTCAGCCATCCAGGTCCTCTATTGTTGCAAAGATCACAGATGTAATATGGATGCCATTATAAGATGATGAAGTGAACTGTCTGCTGACTCAAAACAATTGAGAACCAGGACATGAATAACTTTATGATGTATTATTTGTCTGGCAATCTTGTCTGGTTGCAAAATCAATGGTCTTCCATTGATTTTTTTTTTTTTTTTTTTTTTTGCTTGTAATGATGCAGAAATAATCTGCCAAGAAGAGGTGGCAGGTGGTTTGCTATTTCATGCACTACGACTGGCCAGCAGATCTAGAGAGATGGAAGTGTTACATTAAACACTGAATAAAAATGTTTCATTGATGAAAGTGACGTAAAGCCTTTCCAAACATGCAGTAGAGCTTTTGAGTTTGTTTTTTAAATATATTTTGAAAGGAGAGAGTGTAGCCAAATGTGTGCTCTTTTTTTCCCTTTGTTACCCAAAACATTATTATCTTGAAAATCAGTTCACAAACTAACAGGAATTTGCCACAACCTAGTAGGTATGAAGGACTCTAGAGTGAAGGATCCATAAAATGCCATTGAACCACGGGTCACTATGGATTGTTGTGCTGTCATGGTGAGGGGAAAAGTTAGGCTTGCAAACAACTTCTCTGGCAGTGAATGTGATGTAGGAAGATACTTTGACTACAAATGCTCACTGATTTCTTTGTAAGCAAAGCAGTGCTAGCTCAAGGGAATTGCTGTTGTCTTTCCATTTTCTCCCCTTCATATTTTCAAATATTATGCTTTCAACCAAGACTGGCTCACTTTATTTGTGTTTCCTTGATAGATTTTTTTTATTGCAATGCCATTCTCTAAAATATAGTCAAGGGTTTTACTATAAACTCACCTTTAAAGGGGTCTATAACTCTACCATACCATTTGGCTCCAGATTTTTCAAAAACATATAATGTAAAAAACAAACAAACAAACAAAATCCGTTGAACTGTTGTAAATTAAGAGTATTGGCAAAAATAGCAGGATTTTACTCTCCTACAGATTTTTTATACTAACTAAATTTTGTAATCATCCATCTATAATGTGAATGCGCTATGCTTCTGGCATTTTAAACCATGAAAAAATATAGATATTAAGATCAAATCCTACAATGAACCCATAATACGGACTGTCTATTATTGTTAGACAACTTATAGTAGCAGAAGAATCATACAAGATCTATCTTGAAGGTGTCTTAAGAATTATACACATGGGGCCGTATCTTCAGCTCGTGTAAATATGTGTAGCTCCATTAACTTCAAACTGCATCACCTAAGAATCTGGTCCAGGGCTTGACAAACTCTTACTAGGTTCTATGACTTTATATTAGAGCTGAAAGAGTTTCTGACAATGGAATATTTTTTCTCCTTTTGTAACTACTTTATAGAAAACAAAAGATAACAAACTGTACAAAACTATACTTATAGATAACAACACTTAACATTAAGGGATATAGTTTCTAATTATATTAAAAAGCAAAAACTATGTTCCAGTAATATTAAGAATTAGACTTTGACCAATTGAGTACTGCTGAATTGAGTCTTCAGAAACATCCCAGTAGAATGCACCTTCTGTGTAGATGAGTATACCCAGAACATCCTTTATGTTTTATTAATTTTAATAGAAAATGGCAGTTTAATAGGTGTGGTGGAAAACCAGCCTGTCCCCAACTCATTTGTTTTGCCTAGATATTGCAGGAATAAAACTGTTTGTAAGGGTGTGTCAGGACATGCTTGCCTGCTGAATAAATGAGCGTGCAGTTTTTAGCCATGGCATTTGTGATATAAATTTCCATTATTCTCATCTCCCACTAACAAGTGTCCTTTGCAAAAAGGTACAGCAAACTGTGTGCAAGTTGCTTTGACTGAAACAATGCAAACCAAAACAATGGCTCCAGTCAGCTCAGAATTGCATTCAAACAAGCAAAAACAAGGCTCTCTTTACAAAGCTTTTATAAAATTCCTGGCTCTTAGGTATTTCCTCTTCACAAACAAGAACTAATCCATGTTCTAAATAATTGGTAGAGCTGGGTCAATGTGTCTGTGTGTGTTCCTCCATAGCAGTGGAACAGGATTCTTATCAGCAGTTCCAGACTTGTAGTGAAAAGGTCACAGTGAAATGCAAGTGAGCAGTGAGGACTAGCTTTTTGTAAAGTGTATTGGACAGGTGCAGCTTGTCTCATCCCAGCATTGGGTGTTATCCTTGAACATACTGAATAAAGCAGCAGTATAGCAAGGACCTAAGTAAAAGAGCATTAGCAGAAATAAGTGATTATTGAGAATCTTATCAGGTTTGGACTGTGAACATGGGTAATTACTGTTTCAGTGATGCGGTGGAGCAAACTGGAGTGGAAACCACTTTTAAAATTCAATATCGAACATTATCAAGACTGAAACAGCACCCTAAATTATTGAACAGTATTATGCGTACCTGAGATCATAGTTCAGAAGCCATCTTGAACAGTCAGGCAGCAGGAACCATTAAGGAGGTCCTGGCCTGAAGTGTGTGTTTGATATTTTGGCTGCAGGCAGGTGCTGCGTTGTAGCTAAGGTGGAGGAGCACGGGGTCTATAATGGGGTAAACAGGATGGGAATGTATGTAAATGCAAGTACCCTAATTTATGGCTTTATTATATCTTGAGTCCTTGCTTCAGGATGGTGGGAGTTTCCCTTGCAAGCTGTATGACCTTAGAGTTCTTGGTAACATGCATTCCCCAAGCATAAAACATAACAAAACATAAGTAAAATGCTGGCTGGCTGTCTGGAAAAAATGTATATTCCTATCTTTGTCTAGTTTGTTAGGGCATGAGAATATTTTTTTGGTAACTCAGGCTCTAAATTGAATGACCTTCCTGGCAAAAGTTTTACAGCAGATCATCCCAATACCTTGTAGCTTGGATCAAGCCAGTTTTATACATTAAACACTTAATCCATTCTAAGTGCAGTCACAGTAGCATTGAGTTTTTATGTCTTGGCATACCAGCAAAAGAGCAGAGCATTACTCCCAAAGCCAGATCAGTGAAACGAGGTCAGTGATCAAACTGGAAAGCAGGTTGTGCCAAGTACAAGATATCAATATGGGATTAGCAAGCTTTCATTTGGCACTGTATTTAATTTGCAGTTGTGCTTTTGTGTAATACAACAAAGTAGCACAGATGGTGCAGTGTTTGTGATCCTCAGTGTTTCTCATTTTCATCACTCTACAATTCATTCCCCACATATCCATCTTGTTTAAGGTTCACCGAGGCCTTGTAAAATGCATAGGCATAGTAGAAATGAGATTCCGTGCTGCTAAAGTGGAAGTCCGCTGACGGTATCCTACGCTGACGGGACCCATAATGGAAAAATAAAAGCTAATCCAGAGCATTTTTTAGAGTCTTATAACATGAAATTCTTGCTTCCTTGAAGGAAAAGGATAGACAATGGAAATGGAGAGATCGAGGAACCTAGCTTTGTTGAACTAATGTACAGTTATGGATTTCAAGGACCCCAACTGTAGAGGCTATATATTGACATGGGCACCAATGGAAAGGAAGGTGGACACACATAATTAGAGCTTAATATTCATATCTCCCTTATTTGCCTTTCCTCTCCCCATAATTTTCTATCACAGCATACCGAGGTTGTTGACCACTACTCTGCATCCTTTGACCCTGTCAAGGCTGTATCCCCACTTTGAACTTTAGGGTACAAGAGTGGGGGCCTGCATGAGGACTCCTAAGCTTATCTACCAGCTTAGCTTTGGT